TATCCGGACCAAGAATTTTATTTTAACGTAAGGGTAACTATAGATTTATAGATATTCAGCTAACGCTAATGAAACTATCAGCCGGTCGGCTAAGCAGCTAAGCGGCTGACTGAAGGCTGACTTGATCGGCTTTAGCATACGTACTAGTTATAATAAATTAATAAATTACTATAACCGGGTTAGTTTCGAGTCGTTCAGGTCAATCTCATTCGGAGCACTATCTAAATCTTTCTCCTGTAATACCGATACAGTAAGTAAATCTCGGTCTATTTTAATAACAGATCCGAATCTCTATTTAAGAATTTATATACATCGTATGTTTATTGTTAAAAATCCAAATTTGTACACTTTATTTACTGCTGTACTGTACGTAATTGTTTTGTAAGATCATCATGAAAGTACGTACGTATTAAAGTTTTAAACTTTGGACGGGGGCCAAACACGACAGATATGAATATGCTAATCTAGTAATAAAAAAAAAATTAGCATTAGTGTTAGTGTTAGCTTTAGATATCTATATAATAGAAAAAACCAATATATGATATATATTTTCATTGGCCTATTCATTATTGGTGTAATGTTTACACGTATGTTGTTTCACGTTGGAAAAATTGAATGGTGGTAAATGATCTATTACCATTATTATATAAAATACTATATCAATATGGGTTATCAAAATGGAATCAAATGTGGATTGTGATTGCATTATTTTGCTTAGAATGTTGATATTTTACTTTATTTAATTAATTTAAATATATGTACCTAAAAATATGACAAAAATATATATATACGTATGTATATATTTTGGTTATATCGATATCGATATCAAGTTCTTTCTTTCTATTCATAATTCTGAGAGAATAAAATTCCATCTGATTTTTTTTAAACAACCAATAGACTTTGTTAATAAATAATAATAATAATAATAATAATGGAGCTAGCGATACCTCACTACATTTATCTCGCTTTATGTGTTATAGGTATATTGGTAAGCAGTTGAAAACTTTCTCAAATTTTAAAATCGGTTGTTTTTTATATAAATTAATTAATGAATTTAATCTTTTTACTGGCAAGTCTATAGATCTTAGTTTACGTGGCTATCAAAGTTAGCCGAACTATTTGTTGTATAATTTGTTGGGTTTTAGGACTTGTAGTGCTTATTATAGTTGGAGTGGTATTATTTACGTGAGTTGACTATTTAAAAACTTTTTTATTTTCGGGAATAATGGTTAAATGATCATTTGAATTTGTGCTGACTTTATTATTTTATTCAGTGTTTATCATCCAAATACAAAAGATATTGAAAATACAGTAAAGACAGCCAGTTCTTGATATGAAAATTCGAACTTAATAAATCCAATTTATGATATGAATGAATCTTGTGAAGAAATAATAATATATTCTGATACAATTAATTTTACAACAAATTAGCAAAACTCAAAATAATTAATATATTAAATTAAAGCTCGATTAGTGTATTACTACAGCTGCAATAGTTTCACAATTTGATATTTAGATAATAATATTCAGAATACGCTGTCACTAATACCAAATGGATTTTAGCATACACTTAGAACTAAAGATTGGACTTAACCCTATTTTCTGGGTTATCCGAATAGCTGAATACTCGGGTCAAGATGACAATGTTTCTTTAAATAATATATATATGTATTAAATTTTAAAGTAACTTAACGAAACTAACTTTTTATGATGCTACCTGAAATCACGATACTTATTTCAAGTCTCCAAAAAATCCTGCATTGTCAATGCAAACTTTTAAAAATTTAGCATATTGTAGAAGAAAATTTTGTAAAGATTACAAAGCTATTGGATAATTTTTTGAAATTTTACTTCTACGATGAGTTAAAAATGTCGGTCACACGTTCGTCTGGTATAAGACCTTTCAATCAAACGAATATATGATCACAATCTAGAGATTTTATTTTCTCCTCTTACAGCTAGAATTGCAGACATCTAGAACATCAAATAACATACAGCAGTGACTAGAGATATGCTTCGCGCGGGGTAACGAAACTATCACACCCGTGTAAGGATGTTAATCAACTCAACCTGTTTGTATATTTATTGTTACAAAAACTAATTAACATCCCTACATTCGATTTAATGACGAATTATTATCATGTGACTCTGGTCGTAATATAAAAAATTTTCGATGTAAGAGAGACTAATTTAAAACAAGTTGAATTCAGACCAGCCTATGAATACTTTCAATATTAATAAACTTGTAAAAATTTTTTTTAATTTACTATGGAAATATTGCATAGTGTGCTTCTTCAGAAGAATCGTTTCGATTTGATAGTAAGCTTAAATCAATAATATACAATAAATTAATAAAAATCATTTGTATTGATTGTATTTGTAAAGATTACATTATTAACGAAATACTCACAAGTAAGACATCAAACCAATTAAAGGAATGCACAGAATAACTAATATCCATAACAGCTTTAAACCAATAGGTTTGCTCGAATTACAAAGTTCAATAATTGCAAATATTTCAATTACAAACTAAAAGAAATTTATAATAAATTGATTGTTATCGGCTTTTTAATATGTTATGAAAGATACATACAATTATTAATCCAAAAATAATGAGGCTATATTGAACTAAAGTTAATTCAGTCATATTTAATATATTTCGTCTGAAATTTGCAGAAAAGGTTTTCGAAATATATTAAACTTAAACCCATATCATATCAATATTTCAAATGTCAATGTGATTTTTTTTTAGCCACGGGCAAAGTTTAATATTTTGATGTAAACAACGCAAAAGCCCCAAATGTTTAACCTAACAGGAGGTAGGTCATTCATCATAAATATTGCGTTTAACTATTTAACGAACGATATATTGAATAACACTTTACATATTTTGTTTGGTGTACCACGCTGAAAGGATGAAATCAATTAGAAAATGTAAAAAATGAATGTTATTCATTTTGGCATTTCGATTAACAATATACGTGTTGCAAGCCTATAATTTCAATAATATTAATATGTAGAAATACCATTATGGAAAAAATTTATTGTCGCCAATTATAAGAATGATTAAAATACCCGAACAAGACCCAAGATATAATTCCACGTATACATTAGCAATCTAGAGGTTTGAAACCGGGTTTATTTTGATTTTTCATATGATAAACCGATTAAACACAAAACGCATAGATTTAATGACTGCAAGGATTACATATAATAAAGTTGGCCAGTTGATAATACATTTAACATTACACGAAAAAAAATTAAGTACTATCCTATCGCTATTGTAAAAAAAAAAAAAAAATTTATTTGAAGTCGATAAAATTCTTTAATTAAATCTACAGAATCTCGACATCAGTAAATTATTTTGATTTACTGCTAAGGCCACCTCACCCCTCAATTTTTCAAAATTATAGGAACCAATACACACATAATATTAAATAGCCCCTTCCATTTTTCAAAATCTATATAGGTCAATACTAGAGTTGCTGATGAAACTGGTGAAACTGGTGACTATCTAAAATCTGATTGGCCATTGAATGCAATAGCCAATCAGATTTTAGATAGTCACCAGTTTCACCTGCAGCTCTAGTCAATACACATCAAATTAACCAATAAGATTGCAGTATTAATTTGTACCTAATATTATTGTGTATTTTCTTAATTCCCCACCCTCCTCTTACAAGTCATCTCATGTTATGTTAAACAGAGAATCAACTTGGTTTGGCCTAATTAATAATAAGCAGACCGATTCAATTACGGTTGCTTATCCCGTACATAAATTCTAAACATTTATCTAATAAAAAAAAATTTTTTTTTTAAAAAAAAGCGTTGAACTAAATTTCATTTAGACTGTTTACGTTTTACCATCGTTATGAAAGCGTTTGATTAAACATTTTCATATAATCTAATAGATTATTATACAGTCGACTCTGGATATAACGAACCTCTATATAATGAATTCTGGACATAGCAAAATCAAAAATTTATAATTTCATAACAGTTCGGTATAGAAAGTTCCATGGGTTCTTGAGAAAACATTTCCTTATAGAAAGAGTTGTCTGTAATTTATTCTGTTTGCTGAATAAAATACTATTTTATAGCAATTTTTTATAAACAAAATACTATAATAATTTTATTATATTTGCTAAAAAAATATCATTATAGCTGTTAATATGTTCGAAAATATAAGTCCCCTGCGTGAAAGCTACATCTTACCATAATCGAAGTAAAACGAAGTAAATCGCAGTAAACCACATACTCTTTTGTGATTTGCTTCGATCACAGCAAATCACAAAATCCACACGCCCCTGCTACAAAGGTCACATTTTGCAAAACGCAATAAATTACAAGATTTGTTATAATGTAAAAATTAATGCTGATTTTTAAAAAAAAAATAGCTAATAACTCAAGGTTTTGCTTATGAAATTGCCTTTCACATTTTAAAAAAAAAAATTTTTTTGATATAAAATAGACTTTATAGTAGGGATTAAAATTAATAATTTTATAAAATTTTAAGACTAGATATGCATATACTTTCTAAATACATAAAAAATTTGGTTTAATTCATATGCTCCAAATTTTGGAATGTAATGGAGTAGATCACAAGTTATTAGCTATCAAAGAAAATATCAAATTTATATCTGTTTATAGAAATAATCTACTTGTCGCCGGCGGTGACAGTACCAGATTTTATTTAAAGCTATATTTAGAGTCAAAAAGGGTCATAATATATAGTAAAATTATGCAAGAAATATTTTTTGTTAAGACACGGAAGTTGGTTTCATAAGCATAATTTTGAGTTATTTTGATTTGAAATTTTTGAGGTTTTTGAATCGTGCAATCTGATTGGCCTGGGTCTGTCACCGCTGGCGACAAATAGATTCGCTCCTGTTTATATAGTACTGTACAATTCCAAAAATGCATTAATATTCAATAATTATATATTTCAAAGTTCATAATAAAAGTAAAATAAATGGTGGGTAATTCATCTTCAAATAATATTATTTTCCTTCGAGTATTGTTGTCCAATCCCACTTTTTCCATTTTTTCATAAATTCTGATACACGGGTACTATTATCACGTGGATTTTGCTTTTTAGGACGTCTCCAAACATCTGGTGGTAAATCACAAACACCAGCAACTATTTCCTATTTTTTGAAATATCGTGTCAATATAATTTGCAATTTAAAACTCATGTTAATACAATAATAAAGGTGAAAAATCAAACCTTGCCAAACCATCGGGGAAATGACTTTTCCTTTTCAATAACGTGACCAAACCCTTTATCCAAACCAAACCAAACGTGAAAATATGGTAATTCCTTAACCATTGAACGTCTGAATCCAGTTTTAGACGTGTCTACTAGCTTTTTATTTTGTGACCATTCGCCGCCGCTTTCCATTATACCTTCCTATTTTAATTGATTATTAAGAACATAGCATAATGAAATCAATATATCACCATAATTTTATCAAACCTTAAAATATGCGGGTGCATCTTGGGCCAAGTCCCAAGGCATCGGTATACATTCAATCACTGTATGATTTTGATATTTCAAATTTACAACCGTCTCCATGAAAATTACTCCTTGATCCTCCTCAGCAAACATTTGCATTAAACATTTCATAAAATTCTAAATAAAATAAATGATGTAAATAAATAAATAATAAATAAATAAATATAGTAATATCTATGACAATTTTCAGGTTTAAAATCAACATACTCGTATTTCATCCCATGCGTCATCATCGCATTCTAGTGTAGATGAACAATGCTGAACAGGTACAATCAAACAATGCCCTTTAGCCACTTCTACTACGGTTGGTAAAGCAAGATATACCCTGTATCCCATCGAAACCACCGCTACTTTTGGTGGTGCGTCATTGTGACAATAAATACAGTTGTCCAGAGCTTGCTTTGATTTTTTAAAATCTAAAAATTGTGATCATTTGTTTTATAAGATGAAAAAAAAATCGAAAAAAAATAAAAAGAATCAACATAAATCTATCGATACCTTCAATAGCAAAATATCGTTTTTGTTCCGCGGATTTTTGTGAAATTTTGGCTATGTTATCAGCATTCTCGTCCATATATTCTAAATCATCCTATATATATATATATTTATTTATTTATTTATTTAGGAAATCAGACCATTAAAATTTCAAAAAAAAAAAGAATATTCATTAAACTTACTTCAAATTTGGAATCTCCTACTATCCTTCCAGCTATCTGTGAATCCATTGATTTACTCGATCCTAGTCGTTCTTGACGTACTAAATCACTCAACGTCAACTCGTCGTCATTACTGAAATATCGTATTCGTTGACCGGTTGTGTCATGTGTTTCTACCTTTTGTAACATGTAAAATTATTAAGACCAGTAATAAAAATGTCGCGGCTGATACTGAGAATTTAATTTTTTTGGGTTGTATTTTATTATTATTATTTTTTTTTCTTATATTTAGGTCAGGATTTAGGACTAGAGTTACTAACAAAAGGACTAATAAAGAGTATGCGTAGATTTTAGTAGGTTTGGCAGGGTTAACATAGGTCGATCTTAGTATCAGCCGCGACAATAAATACCGTCTTCAAAGCTATAACTATTGTATACCTTTTCTTTTTTACGACGAGAAGGTCCCGCATGCTGAGAAAATTTTGATGCAGAGCCACCAAGATCGTAAGGCCTTCCTCGACTATCCAATAATGGCAAAACCTCAACACGAGTTTCTGATTCCACACCACTAGAACTATTCTCAGCCGCTAGTCTAGCATTCTCATATTGTTTTTCCAATTCACTGGCATTGGGCAAATTCATAATTTTAGCACGTAAAGCTTTTGCTTGTAGTTTATTTAATTCGTCAGAGGACATTTTGGGTGTGTTTAAAGAAGGTGGAGGTATTGAAGGTATATGTGAAGTTATAGAGTTCGTAAGCATAGCGGGCTTTCATTGTAATTGGCTGATTTTTGTAGATCATCCCGTGATATTGCAAAAACATCATTGGTTAAT